GAATGACGAATGAAGCACTTTTCAATATTTTATAACCATCAAGACATTCGAGAAAGTACAAAAAGTCAGAGTTTCACAAATGATAATTGTTACAGCCGGGTAAATACCTCAGATATAGAAACTAGACAATAACCAGATGTATAATAAAAATGATTCACAGAAGTAATTGGGTTTGATTCAAATAATCCACACGGACAGACGACGGGGGCGAGGCCAGTTTGGGTATCCTTTTCTGTACTTTATAATACAATTCGAATGAAAACCAGAGTACACAGGAGACGACCATCTGTTAGACTCGAAATCTTCCGGGTTTGTTCATTATAAAAGTCGGATTCGTTTATACCATCGCATATTCTCCAGATACAAAGAGAAGACATTTACTGGTGAGTATTTTTCAATATTTTTTATATTTCTGTCCAGGAATCACCAAAATTTTGACTAACTTTATATTAAAATTTGAACAGANTATTCAGATTGTCATGTAATAAATAATAAATATATAACAGAAATTTATTAGTTTTTATTATTAACATTGTACTGTACGTAACATTCTAACAAAAATACCAAAATGTAAAATTGGCCAATTATCGATACCGATTAATCGGCGATATGGCCGATTACCGATTACTTACCGATTAATCGGTGCATCCTTAGAATGGACCCTTTTCTCTCACAGCAGGCTCTTTAGCCTTTGTTTTTTTGAACATATGAAATATTTGCAATGTTTCTTTATTAATAAAACTGCAGTTTCACAGATTTTATTTTCTGTAGGTAAAAACAACATTAATTTTATAGGGGTAGAAAGTATTACAGGCCCCTAAATTCCACACCCAGGAAAAATCCCCAGCTTTTTCCTCTCATTGGTCTTGAGCGGTAACATTTGATCATTAATAGATAATTCAAGCTTGGTTTACTATAGGATGTGTGAACTAATAAATTATTTACATTTACTTTATTTATGCATTTATTTATTAAAAAAAAAAGCAATTAATAAAATGAAGTAAAAAGTAAAATAGCTTTCCAAAATATTAATGGTATCTGAAATATATATTTAGATTATATAATTAAATTTTTCTTTGGATTTTAATTCATTCACTCTGGGAAATTTGGTAATAATCTAATTAAAAATAAAATTATTCAAGCTGATAAATCCATGATTATTTTTTGAAATTTATTATTAATTTCATGTTATATAACTTATGTAAAATAGATAATATAATAAATGTCAGTACCATCTCAAACATTCTCTTTGAGACAGCACCTTCTAAACTATCTATTGGTAGATGCCATATTTTCAATATCACTTGTGGGTCCTTAACATAATCTATACTAATGCCTACTCTCATTATTTTTATTTTGGTTTTAGTAATTTTTTTAAAATTATGGATTATATGCAATTATGAGTTAGTTACACAAATTATAAGTAAATTTTAAAAATTTATCATGCATTTCCAAATTCATGAAAACCCAATACACAGTATATAACAATCACAATACAGTAGAGTCATGTACAACGTGCAAATAAAGCAAGCATCACCCTTGAAACATATACCTCGTTGAAAAATTATACGTTTTTTTTTTCAACTTATATGGAATGATAGAACGTTTTTTTAATACTCTTTCCTCCCTGAGGGCATTAAGAGGGCCCNTATATATGTATAACAAATTATATTATTATACAGTTTTTCACATTTACTTGATTATCATACCATAATTTTAACATTGTTTCCATCTCAGCGATAATACCATGATGTTTACAATGATGCTTGAATTTAAAGATTGAGCATTTTTCACAGCTTCGAGAATTTTTTCTTTACCTTTTATAATTGTTCTGACCGTCGATTCTGGTAGATCAAACTCCTTTGCCAATTCACAAATTTTCATTTTTATATCAAAGTCTTTAATAATGGGTACGTTCGTAAAGTCAAATGAGTTAAACGCATTAGTAATGAATCGTTTGAAAAGTCTAATGAAATAAGAATAACGATGACATCATTCTCATTTAACTCATTCAACTTTACAAAAATACCCAATGTTAACTTTACATTACAAAGATAAAGTTTTTCTTTTCTTGTTTGATGCAGAAGAATCAGTTCTACTTTGTTTGGATGACATAGTAGAGTCTATCAAGTCTCTGTAGATATACCTACAATTTGTGTTTGTTATATGTTGATTCTGCACGACACATCCGAACATGTAAGCTGAACAATAGTGTGGGGGGATCAAGTAATCAAGAGTTGTGTGGTGCTCAAACAAAAGACAAATCGACGAGATTTGAAAGTAGCATAAGTCGAGGTATTACTGTATATAGATAATTGGTAATGGGTTATTCAATGATGTAGTCTCCATGCAGCCCTGATCCTCCTCCTCACGGGTCCAAACTTTTTCTTAGCTTCTATGAAAACAGTGGCACATTTTAAATTACAAAGCATCTAATGCAAAAATGTTTTTTGTCCAGATAAAAAAAAAACTCAAAAGGGAAAGAAATTGGACACTGTAGGTAGGAAAACTGCATGAGGCTTCTCTGATTAGCCTTGCACACTTAAGGCCAAGTGTGGCTGTGCCTCACACCATTTTCCTTGTCCATTTTTTGACACTTTTAATAACATCTTAAAACTTTTCATTTCAAAACTAGATTTCTGAATAAATTTTAAATAAATGATTTTTTGAAAACATTGATAAAATGAATCATTTATTTAATAAATGTATATCAAAACAGAAAATAAGAATATTCCTAAAATACAGGATGTCCAAGAATTATTCATCTCATTCAAAAATTTATTAAAACGTCAGTAGAGATAAAAAAACTGATTGCTATAGCTTAGAGAGTAACTCAAAAATTTTTATTTACATATTAGGTTCAGTCACTTGTATGTATAGTACATAGACATCATTGGACATTGTTCACATCACCAGTCTGTACTCCTACTTTTTCCTTATGTTTTGAATCATGTTAACTGTGATGTCAGCAAAGTCTGCATAATCCATGCCTTCAGTTCCTCCACACTAATTCCTTCTTTATGTACCATTCATTTTATCCTTGATGCCCCACAGGAAAAAATTCAGGAGAATCAGATCTGGACCTCCTCGTTGCACATCATTGACCAGTGTGGAGGTACTCCATCCTGTTGAAAGATAATATCTAGCTGCATTTCTTCCAGTTATGAAATACAAAATATGTAGCATGTCCAGGTAGTTGGAATTAGTCGTCATGTTTTTGGCAAAGAAAAGGGGACCAATAACCATATCAATTATCAGTGCATGCATACCAGACATTGACTTTGGCTCTATTACATTTGTGTTCCTGGAAAGCTTTTGGGTTCTCTGAACCCCACATGTGGCAATTGTGTTGTTTAACTTTCCTAAACATGTGAAAAGTGAATTTGTCACTGCAGACCAACTCATCCCTGAAATGGTTATCTTCTTGCATGGTTGACAAATTTGATTTGACTTGTCACCTGGCAGGAGTTTCTGAACAATCTGCAGTTTGTGTGCATGCAACTTCAATCTTTTATGGACCACAATGTGGACTGTGGATCTTGGAATCTGCAGTTCCAAACTTATACAATGGAGAGACTTTTGAAGCCTACTGAAACAATGTCTGAATGCTGTTGACCTTGAAAAAGTTTTTGGCCTACCTGTCCCTTCTTGGTGAAGTATTATTTCTCTTGTCTGAAATTGCTGTAACCACCATTGCATTGATTGTTTCATCAGAGGTTCTTTATAAAATTTATGCATAAAATGCCTGATAACATTCACGAGACTCTTGTATTTTCCATAACCAAAGCATGCACATTGCCTTTTCTGCTGGTGTTGACATCTTCTTGCATTGAATGTTTGAATGCCAGATTGACAATCTGAAAAACTTTTTGAGTTGTTCTATAAGCTACATACACAGCAATCAGTTTGTTTTTATCTCTATATATTTTTAACGAATTTCCACAATGTGTGAATAAATACTCATAGACCTTGAGTTTGTTGAATTTTGATTAAAAAAATACTTTTTTTGGATTTTTTTGAATGAAATCAATCAAAAGAAAACTAGAAATGTTCTAAATTTTTAAAAAATTTAAGTTTTTAAAAATTAATTTCTTCTCTTTAGCATCAAATTTTTAAGGTAGTATGAGGATGCATTCACAAGTTTATTTAAAAATTATGAATTGACAGAAATATATTTTAAACTCATTGAATTTATACTATCAGCACTAATGCAAGCAAGTACAAAAGTATATAAGTTGTCAAACAGATTTTTTTTTTAATATTACCAAAAGTTTACTCTTTCTACACTATCTACCAAAATATCATTGTACAATTCCATTCTTTCATTGTGGCTTAATAGTGAGATTTTTTGTTGGTATGGGCTCATTGTTCATAATCATCAGCAATTTTTTTTGCCAAAGGCTACAGTAAATTCATGGACAATACAACTCTAGCTATACTCTGGTAGTTCTATAGAATGGATGATGACACATTTTAATACGATAATGCACTATATCATATTCCCGCTGCTGTTACAATGGCATTATGAAAATAGGGTACACTACATAGACTTGTCCACCCTGATCTTAACCCAACTGAACATCTTTGGAATGAATTGGAGTGCTGGGACCAGACCAGAAATCTGAACTTGCATTAGAGGTAGAAATGCAGAATATACTAATGAGAGTCCTAATAAAACTGATAGCAAATCTTTCTCAAATTATTAATTCTATTATAAAATCAAAAATGAACATATAGTGTATAATCTGTACAGTCTAACAGTCTAATAATTTATACTTCATTAGAAATGCTCAATGACTTTTTAGTAGATAGTGTAAAATGCATTGGTGGATCCAGAAGAACCTAAAGATAAAAATATTTGAATAAATATAAGGACTTATTAACATGTATAAGATGATTGTATTGTGAATTGTCTGAAAAACCATATTTGCCATTATAAATGTTTTTAAAAACATTGTTTTGAAGTTTAAACAAATAATTTTTTTTTATTTTGTGTTGATGTGGGAGGGCTTAGGCCTCTTTAGCTTCATGGATCTATTTCACTGGTAAAATGTTAAAATGGCAAAATTCCCTTTGAATATACATGGTTGGCATTTAACTATCAAATCTTATAAATTAAAAGAATTTTAAAAACTTACCAAATTGAAATTGTTCATTGTCAATCAGTCGAAGAGATGCAGGTAATAATTTCTATAAATTAAAAAATAACAATAATTAATCTCTTTTTATATTTATAAAATTAAATTTTTAGTGTGTTCAATCACTGTCACTTCTAAACATTTTTCATCTGTTTTTCAAATTGAAAGTTTACTTTGGAAATAATTATTAAAATATAAAGAAAGACAAATGATCAATGCCAATATATATAGATGCATTAAGATGCATTTTACAATTAATAAATAATTGTTGAACAATATATAGCCTGATATAGGGAATTTGATCTTTTGAACTATTAAATATAAGAGTGTCATGTACTGTACTATACATTTATCATCATGAATTCTAAAGTTAATATTTAAATTTAAAGGGTATGATTTATTAATAATCAAGCTATAACCTGGAAAATAGCCTGATAATGAATCTAACACTATTGAGACCATTGAACACTTTTAAGGAGCCTGTGGATAGAATGGACTAAGGATGCACCGATAAGCAAAATGGCCGATTACCGATTAATTGGCCGATTAGTGTTAATAATTTATTGGATTAATAGTGTGAGATCCTGGAGTTAATTATACAGTTAATTATAATGTGGAAAAAACCCATTTTTCTCCACCTAGTATTTCCATCTCCCTCGGATCAGGTAAACAAGAGACGATCAAATATCCTCGCAAAATCAACAATCTCTTCCTTTGTTTCTAAAATAAATCTCAACACATAATTGTTGATGCATGGAAACTTCGACATTGTTTAAAAAGCTGAAGTGTTTTTGTGTTTAACAGAAACAAAATATATTTCTTTAACCGCTGATATTTGGACAGCAACTACAAACAATTCTCCTTTTTTAAGTGTAACAGCCCACTGGTTGAAGGATAATTTTCAGCAGGAAAGAGCTGTTTTGCAAATTGTTTCCTTTGTAGGTTCCCACACAGCTACACGAATCAGTCAACAGTTAAAAATTGTTCTTGAACAATTTTTAACTGTTAATATAATAAGATGACAAGTGATAAGATATTCTTAGTACTAAGAGATTCTGCAGCAAATCTGGTAGCTAGAATTAAGAATTGCAACTTAGAAGCATTATCATACGCTGCAGCTAACACTAAACGAATGCATATTTTCTAAACATGATGTGAAAACTATAATCACAGTTAATAGAAATATTGTCACACATTTTAATCACTCTGCTGTAGCTGTAATCAAATTAGAAGATTTGCAAGAAAAGTTAGGTTTGCAGAAACACAAATTAATTCAAGATGTTCCTACTCGCTGGAATTCTACATACTACATGTTGGAACAGCAAAAGGCCCTTGTCACATATACTATAGATAATAAAATTCCTGAGCCCATATTTCTGAGCAGTGGTCTCTCGTTGAAAAAATTGTTCTACTTGTAAAACCATTCAAAGAAATTACTGTGGAAAGCCAGCAAACGAGAAGCCACTTCATCTTCAATAATTCCCACAACAGAGACTGAAATTATTCTTATCAAAAGGAAAGATCAGTAGTTCCTTTAGTGGCATTAATACCACAACAGAAGAACTAGAAAATCCAATTAAAAAATATTTTCAGCATATATAGAAAACAAGTCTTTATGCTTGTCACTTTTATTAGATTCAAAATGAAATTTCAAAAAGAGAATATGGTAGAGGAAATCTCAATAAGAATTAAATTCTAAAGCTTCTACTTCTGGAGATGATCAAGTTGGAGGTGAATTTCTAAGTTTTTCTGATTTATTTGATGAATTAGCTTCTGGTAAACGAAAGAATGAAGAATAACATGCTTTTAAAAAGAAAGAAAAAAACGAGACAAACAAACGTTTTGATCCAGAATTAGAAACATATTTATATTTACTCCTTAAACAAAGACATACCGACCTATTTTTGTGGTGGAAAAGTTTAAAAGAATTTTTTCCTAATTTGAGCAAAATAGCTATGAAATATTTAAGTGCCCCAACATCTTCCATTGAAAGTGAAAAAATTTTCAGCACTGGAGGTAACATTTACGAGCCGGCAAAAAATAGGTTATGCCCTGAAAATGGTGAAATTCTCAGGTTTTTGCATTGCAATTTAAGGGTTTTACAGTTTGAATATTAAATTTTTATTTGTTTTATATGTTTAAAGTTTAAACTTTGTATTATACGTTATATTATACTTATAATATGTATCGATAAAAGGAATAATTTGAATTGGTAAAATTTTTTTTAATATTCAGTTTGTCATGTAATAAATAATAAATATATAACAGAAATTTATTAGTTTTTATTACTAACATTGTACTGTACGTAACATTCTAACAAAAATACCAAAATGTAAAATTGGCC